AAGCAAATTGGGGGAGTTGTAATTGGTATTTTATTACCTCATAAGCTCTAATTCAGTGGTTCTCAACCTTTTCTTCACCATGGATCACCTTCTATGGCCATGGACCAATAAGACTAAACTCAAGATAAAAATGTTAAAATTTCTTCAAACCTTCATGGACCCCCTGTGATGACATTGTGACTCCACCAGCGGTCCCCGAATCACAGGTTGAGAACCACTGAATTAGAGCTTATGAGGTAATAAAATACCAATTACAACTCCCCCAATTTGCTTAATAGGGCTACATTTTAACATTTTTCCTGCCTTAATATTCGTGCAACATACAAATCCATACTGTAAAAATCACCTAATTTTTTTCAATCAATGAATGTATGAATTTATTATCAGTTCTACTTCAAAATCCTGGTTTTCCTGCGCTATACTTCCATATTCTTCTCCTGCTTCTGCCCACTATTGACTTTCACATGAGCAACTTAGGTGTAGCAATTTCTTATATTCTGTATAGTGCTGTGTAATTTTAAAAAAGTTTTATTAAGCACATTTTGTCTTTTTAAATTTAATTCCTTTGGGAGCGTACAAAGACATACAACATTTATTCAAAAAATTGCAGAAAAGGCTTCAAAATCCCTTTTTTCCTTCTCATCTTTCTCTTCATGACCAGAAAAAAAAAATCTCTACATAAGCCATTTGAATTTCATTATGTTTTGTTTAAATAACACCTGGGTTGTATTACTTCAATTTTTGGATCTTGTGGCCCAAGAAGTTTCTGCTCTCTTTTTGTAACTGACCACAATGGTGCTTCCTTAAATGCCCGTCAAATTGTTCAACCTATTTTTTGCTCTTCAAATTTTACAAAGAAGTTTTGATACAAACATCTGGAGCTAACTAGATCATAATAATAGTATACAGTATCTACCTTGGGATACATTATTATCCCATGCTTATAAAAACACCAAAAGGCTTTAAAATTCATAAGATCCCTAACAAGCAGTACACTAATAATGCATTTTTCTCTTGTGTTTCTTTCTGTATATGTCCAGCTACAGTAGCCATATATCATTTGACAGTACCAACCTAAACATTTGAGTATGAAGATATCCTGCCTACAAATTTTAAAGCAGGGAAATTGGCACCTTAAGCAAACGGAGTTAAGTAAACATACAGTATTAAAATCCTTTGTATAAACATGTATGTTTGAGGATCTTAGCCAAAAAGAAAGAAAAGGACAATTAGAAGATAATGGGCTGGACTTTTTCTAGTCAAGTGCAAAAACACCTGCCAAAAGTGTGTATCTTTTTAAAATACTAATTTGAGAGACTGATTTATTAGTTACATGTACAGATAAAAAACCCCAACATAGCACTTTCTTGTTAAATTGGTGAAATAATTATTTTGATCTGCAATGTAGGACTTACCTATCCTTCCCAGTTTCTTTTTTAAATATTTCATCACAGTAGCTCATGCGTTTTTCAGTGGTCACATAGATTTTGGCCTCAGGATAACTGTCCACAGTCTTCTTCAGCATATTATATACAATGCCGCTTCCATCTTTTCTCATATTTCGGAAAGGTCCCCAGATGACATAAATTGTACTATTGGTTTCCTTGAAAAAATAGTCTGCGTTCTTCAGCAAAAGAGGGACACTAGTATGGGAGACAACTCTTATTGTTGTCCTTTTTCCAACATCTTCTTCATAGCCCTTGGTGGGAGCATTATTCATTCTCCATATACAGGAAGCCTGGTCAATTTCAGATCCTACTTTCTGTTCTGTCATCTGACCGGAGTTTGAAATAATGGCACAGAGATCGCACTCCAGCTGCAGAGGCTGTTGGAAAGGAAGGGGGGAAACAGTCAATCAATTTTACATGACACTTGGAAGCAATTGGGGAGTAGAGGATCTAAAGATCTGGAATCAAGTTATATGGATTCTATGCATGAATAAGTACCCACCAAATATCAAGTTATATGGATTCTATGCATGAATAAGTACCCACCAAAGATCTCTGATCCATCACTAACAGGAGTTATATCAATGAGTATCAGTGGCCAAACTTTTCTATAGGATACTCATGCCTTTCTAGAACATGTGCTTTCCTTCACTTTTTGATGACTTTTAGATCAGATCAAAAAATATGTTTTTTTATTTTAGTTAGCTTATGGATGATTACAATGCAAAAGCCAGCAATGGCTTTAATTTAGAGGGCACTGAGTAAACTCTGAGATAACATTCTCTTTTTCAGTATCTTTTTATCATCAGCCAGAATCTTCTGCTTAAGGTAAGTAGTTCACTTGTCTAATTGCAGCCCTGATTGTAATGCAAAAAGGATAGCTGGAGAAAACTGCAGCGTGCACAAAAGTAGATTTAGAAAGAGCAAAACAGGAAGAAGCAACAACAGCATACTAGAGATAAAAGTCTGCCAAAGGGAATTTTGATGAAAGAAATTGCGACATGAAAGGAGCAGAATTATAGGGGATGAGTAAGTGAAAAGGAAAGGCCAATAGAAAGTATTGTGGAACGATTAAGATAGAGCATAAAAGAAGCTTCCTAGGCTTCTTCTTGAAGCATACTCGTTGTGCATTTAAAAAATGAAAAGCGAAGATCAGCAGGTTGGAAGTTGAATGGATACAAGAAAGGTATCCTGAGATGATAAGCAATGTGGGTTGTGCATATCAATACATCGCCAATCCAAATGTCAGTTCAATTTGGATCAATTTGGATCACTGATTCAATTTGGATTTCTGAACTATACTGGGTTTCCAAATCAGATAATTTAAGGAAATCAAACTGATTTGGAAAGCAAATTCAATTTAGAAAAAAGGATCTTTCTGCAAATAAGAAACCCAGCCATAGAGTCATTGGATTAATTTGGAGGCAAGTTATTTGATGATTCAATCCAAAAAGTAAATTTGATTCAGAGGCAATCAAATAATTTTTGACCTAAACCCCCTGAACCTCAATTATTTGCACATTACTTCAATCCTGTGCAAGATTTCTCAAAATATGTAGTCCAGATCTGGAATAATGCAATTATTAGAAAACTAACCTTGTTCCATATGGTATTCAGATAAGTAGATAGATAGAATATAGAATAACAGGGTTGGAAGGGACCTTGGAGGTCTTCTAGTCCAATCCATTCTCAAGGGCATTTAGGATAAATGGCTGTCCAATCTCTTCTTGAAAACCTCCAGAGTTGGAGCACCCATAACCTCTGCAGGCAAACTGTCCCATTTATTAATTGTTCTCACTGCCAGGAAATTTCTTCTTAATTCTAGGTTGAATCTCTTTTAATAATCTGCCCCCTGTTACTACCTGTCCTGCCCTCAGGTGCTTTGGAGAATAGGTTGACCACTACTTCTCTGGGACAACCCCTTAAATATTGGAAGACTGCTATCATTTCATCCCTACTCCTTCTCTTCCCATACCTAGTTCCTGCAACTGTTCATCATATGGTTTAACTTCCAGAATCCTTATCATATTTGTTGTTCTTTTCTGCACTATATATATCTAATTGAAAGAAGGCAGTTAAGAAAATAAAATAAGTGAAAAATGTTGAAGGGAGATAAAATGAGTCAACTCATTTGTTTGCATAACTATTTAATAATGGGATGGAAATGCCTCCAGCAAAATTTCTTTCTCTTCATATGTCATCGCTGAACACTGCCTAAAATCTCTATTCTTGCTTGTTTCAAAATCTCTTTTTCTATTCCAAAATGAACTGCAAAGAAGAGCAAATACATTGCTCTCTACATATATTCATTGATCTGCAGTCAGTACTGCTTTGACACTAAAAACTTGAGATATATTAATTCATGTTTTTTTCTAAAGTATTTTTGACAAATAAAACATTTATTAATAGAGGCATAAAGGAACCAAATATGTATATCCTTGATAAGAAATGGGAAGCATTGAAAGTTCACATGAGCAAGATAGATCCTGTCAATCTTTTATGGTCAGTGGTATTTCTCAATTTAAATATTTTATCACCATTAGTATGCAACCTCAGTGTGTATTAGTATTTGCAGTGCCAGTACATACTTTGTATCAATGTGTATTAATATTAAAACAAATTCATGCAATGCAGGCAAATGCTTTGCCAGTTTCTAGATTACAGATCCTCCTTGACTCAAATAGTGTGAGCATACTTGGAGTAAAACTGAATTTCAGTTATGGCTGGCCAAAATATGCCCAAATTCTCTTTACTTTTAGAAGACAATGTTGCATATGGCACAAATGCTAGTAAATCGCGTAACCCACTGTCTGTCTTACTAAAGACTTACAAAAAAGTTTTAACTGACCAAAGAAAGGATAGATATCTATGTATCCATCTGGGGATGTGAGGTCTCCCAGGAAACATAGCTAAAGGAGTGTCAGGTTTCCAAAAGATGCCCTAATTCTACTTTATTTATTGTAAGCCTACCTTAATAGAATGTTGCAAGTCTGGAAGTATGGTATAAAGCTTGAGTTTAACTGCTTAACTTTTAACTGCTTGAGTTATTAGGGTGGGTGCTTTCTAAGTTCTTTCTTGTATTATGAAGGCATTGGGGGCTCCTGCTTCTCATGTCTGATCGTTTCCTAGGCAGCATCTCTTCCCTTCGTTCCGCAAAATAGGGAAAGCATAGCTTTAATTATGAGTGAAAGTATTAAGCTGTGTGCACGGGTTTATATATAAATATAAATGGGTTGTGGTAGATATATATATATAGAAGCACAAATAATTGAAGAAAGTCACATGTTCTGCTCCAGTGAATGGTGCAAATGGAAGAACCAGATTAGAGTTTTGATAACTATTCCACAATTTTATGAATGAATCTGGTTCAAGGCAAAACATTTTGCTAGGCAACATGAATAAATGGTTGGGAATGAGACCCGAGAGGGCAGAAAAAAATGATTGGGCCATTTGTAGATTCCACAGTGAACGAGAGTGATGATTTCTGTCAAATATCAGCTTAGAAACCCTTTGCTTATACTTGTTTGGAATATATTGTGTGGTTTAAGCATAGGTCTCATTGTACATATTCATGGCAATGGAACAAATATAATTTTAAAAGCATGGTTGAGGTGACCGATAAAAGATTGAGAAAATACAGGATGTAAGATGATCAGAGATTTTTAAATGTGACTCAGATTGTTTCTTAATGTCAAGAAGGAATCTTGGGGAAAAATAGAGTTGAAACACAATGAAAGAAGAAATGAGAGTGAAAGTAAAATGATTGCAGGAAAAATGTATATAAATAATATATGAAAAAGTAGTAGAAAAAAGATTAATCACCCAATTCTCTGAATGGAAAATGGATGTAATAAAACAATATATGCAATATGCTTGAGACAGAAGAAATTGTATTTATGTATCTCTATCCTTTTATCTATCCAAGTGCCACAGAAATGCATGAGAAATATGAAAAAGAGTGTTGAAATTTGAAAGAAACTACAGATGAAGAAAACCGCATGTAAGAGAATAATCACTACAACAGATGAGAAAGAGAGATTGTATGGCTGTATAAAAAGAAAAAAAGATTGTTGCAAAGAATGCAGTCAAAGAGAGCAGTGATTGGCTAATATTAAAATAGGCAGAGAAAATACCAAGCAATTTTCATGGAAATAAAAAATTGTCTTGGGGTGGGTGAAAATTGCTAAACCAGATGCCTCCAGTATAGTGAATGGACTTTAAAGTAAAAATGATGAATTGATTTGCAATGAAGCTGAAGGGAGAGAATGCTGGAAGGAGTATTTTAGACTTTGTACAGGAGTGATATTGATATGTCAATGAGTGAAGTTGAAATGAAGGCAATAAATATTAGGGTCCACGAAACCACTGATGAAAAGGAAGTAATAAATGCTGGGAGTATATTGAAAAATGGTAGAATGACAAGTATTGATGGTATAACTGGACAACTGTTAAAATATGATGTAATTTGCTTCCACAGTCATTTAGTGTTAGTAGGAAATAGAACAAGGAAATGTAATGGATCTGTAATCATTTAAGATATTGTATGGATAAATATATGGGAAATGTTTGTGGTAGCATGTTGACTGGGAGGATGTGAATGTGCATTTGCCTTTCTGTGAGAACAATGTTGTGTTGGCAGAGAATGAGAATGCTTTGCAGTAAACTTCAGATAGTTTGCATGACACAATGAGCAATAATTATACAGCTCAAAATAATGTATCAAAGATTAAGGTGGTTTCATTTGACAGGAAAACATCTGAACATTTGCAGATCATACAATCATATAATGCATATTAGGCACGTGAAGTAAATTCATTTGTATGCCTAATATTAGTTCAATAAAAAATGAAAAATGAATGGAAAAAAATTAAGACTTGCAAATGCTGGTAGAATGTTACTGTGCTTCCCCTTGACCCCTGAAATAACCCCTTGGTCTTATATTGGGGGAGGTCTTATTATTTTTCAGGTGAAGCAAGTGTGGTCACCTCATGGCTGCTGCTCTGTTGTAATATTTTTAGGAAGTGCTTATTTTCAGGGAAGGGCTTATTTTAGTGCATGCCCTCAAAAGCCCAATTGGGCTTATTATCCGGGGAGGTCTTATTTTCAGGGAAACAGGGAAGTTGGTAGCACGTGATCCGCTGTAAGAAATTAATGTTTGTTGAAAGGAAAAACTGGTTGTGTATAAGTTCTCATCATTTTGTTATATAGAACTAAAAGTTGGATCCGTTTGAAAAAACATGATCTAAATTGCATGTAGTTGTAATGGATACTTAAGGAATGTGTGAAGAAGAAAAAAGAGGAAGAAGGGAGAAAGAAGAGAGGGGGAGGAAGAAATAATAATGAATAAAAGTAGATATATAAAGTAACAGTATAGGAA